ATCAAAGCATGTGGTCAATATTATGTTAAAAACAATATACTCTTTGTAGAACATGACATTCTGATAATGAGCACCAACCAAGTTCAGCATTGTAGCCACTGAGCGCTAAGCTGCCAATAGATGCAGCGCCAAAGGCACTGATCCATTGCTTGGTCGAATCCCCAAACCTTAATGCTGTGGACTTGACACCTACTTTGAGGTCATCTTCTTTGTCCTGACATGTAACAGATATGATCATAAGAAACCACGACAATCCCGATGAGTTGCTTTTGCACAGTTTAGATATGAAAGAATGCCACCAGTAAAATACCTGATGTGCATATATGGTATCATACACCAATGTCCAACATATACCAGCAGTATACAGTGGAAGGATGACTGCAGGGTCTAAGCTCCCTCTGATAGCAGCCCATCCTAACAAAGCTCCCCAGTTGAAGGTTAAGCCGAGATATGCCTGAGGCTGTCAAAAAATGCACCAGAAGTATTTAAGTGACCACTCTCTGTAAGCAATATGATGATAGTACAACCTAGCATTTGTGTATTACATACCCAAAATGTGAACCTCTTCATCAGGGGATAAGAAAACACCAGAAGAAGAGAAGATGCCCCAAGAACACGGCTACGTGGACAAGTAGACAAATTTAAAGGTGAATAGTACAATAATGATGGAAGGAAATGCATCTAACAAGCTCACAATCCTTTGGAGTTTGCAGGAACTATAACTACAGGCACGTATTGGAATTAAAAAGATACTTTATGTGCATTCCACAAAATGTCAATTACTACACAGTTTGTTTGGAAGAACTTTGGAGCATCCAAAACAGGCAAGCTGCACATTCCACTCACACAAGCAAAAGAACACACAATTCACCTGAAGTTGTTAAGTTGGAGAAGAATGCCCAATCCCAGCAGTAGCTGACCTCCGAGGAAGGCCACGCCTTGAGAAGGGGTTAGAGCGCCTGATGCAAAAGGCCTGCTTTTGGTGCGCTCAACCTACACGAGGAACGTATCCGTCATCAATTCACTGCATGATCCACTTGAGTGAAGTAATGCAGCAGTAGCAGAACGCAAAATCTAAAGAGTACAACATACATCAAACTTGTCTATAACCTCAATTAGCATATTTTTCTCTCCATGGTTTCACTGTGCTGTTAGTTTTAGCTGCTACTGATATACTTTGGTCAGGGCATTTGACACTTAATTTTTCTACATTCTGGCTAAGCTGTAAGCACATAACACATTGACAGATCAAAAATTGCAGCTGATCCCTTTTCACGTTCACAGTTGCAAGAGTCTGAAGGGCATTTTCACCAACACGCAAGAACTGAAGTGTTGTCTTCAACCAGGAAAAAAAAGCAGAATCACCTTGTTATCAATGTCGCGGTCGAGAAGATCATTCACCGTGCAACCAGCTCCCCTGAGGAGGACAGCCCCGCATCCGAAGAGCGCCAGCATTTTCAAGTCGGGGAGCTCCCCCGGCATCGCTGCTATCGTGATTGACCTATGAAGCAAAGGTCACAGGGAGCTCTTTAGGTAAGCTGGAGTACTTGGTAATGCATAACAGGGTAAGAGAAGCTGCTCTGTTGCTGACAAACATGCGATGTTTTCTTCCTAAAGCCAAAGATCGAGCATGGACTCAAAATTTTCAAAATTGACTAAATTTATTAACTAAAAATCTGTTTGTGCAGACAGCAAATCTGAAAAAGTGAGCTCGGGCTGCTCTCTACTAATCTCTTGTTGAGCTGATCCTGCTGATCTACGCAATGGTGGCGAGACATGGTGATGTCAGTAGAAGTAGCTAGAAAGCATACCACATGCAGGGCCAGGCGAGGAGCCAGGTGCCGATGGGCTTGTCGAGGCGGGCGAGCATCGCGTACGGCCGCGCCGCCTCCGGGAGCCACCTCTCCACCCACGACGCCGGCGCCGGCGGCGGGATGTTCTCCTCCTTGTCCTTGTCCGTGTCCTTGTCCCGAGAGGAGGTCGAGAGCGGGTGCAAGAAGCTGCTGGGCAGCAAGATCCTGTCGATGTAGAACGAGGACGCCGCCGCGGAGGCGGAGGGTGGGTGAAGGCATGGGCTGCGGCGGCTTAGGGTGATTAGGTGGCGCCGGGCGGGGGGGTTGGGGGCGGGACTGGGGGAGGGAGAGGAGGAGTGGGTGTGGGGGAAGGGGGAGATGGCCGGGAGAGCGGCGACGCGGGCGCGGCGGCGGAGGGCGGCGGCGGCGGCGCGGAGCAGGGCCATGGATGGAAGCTCCAGCTGATGGCTCGGCCGTGCTCCTCAGTTTGGGCTTTGGGCTACCTGATGACACTTCTATCCATCAGGCCGGTCAACTTTGCGTGGGCCTAGCAAGGCTGTAAAATTAAGCTGGTACAGTCTTATCAAAGAATATATTTATACAATGTGAAAATGAATGTCTGCATAATTTTAAAAAATTATTTCGTCTCATTTGATAATATGTACATGATATTTCAAAAAAATTCGCATGTTTCAAAAAAAAGTATGTGACAATTTAACAAAATGTTTATACAATGTGAAAAAATGTCCCTGTGCTATAAAAATGTACGTGACATTTTAAATAAATACTCATAATTTCAATGTAGAGTGTGGGGTCCTCTTAGCAAAAACGAAATATTCACGCATTTAGGGGAAAAAATGTGGCATTTAAGAAAATGTGATACAATGTAAAAAAATGTTCATGTAGTTTTTTTAAAAAAATCTTTCATGCCACCAAGAAATGTTCAATGTGTATTTAAAGATATTTAGCATGTGTTTGAAATAATGTTCAAGTTCAAGACAAGTATGTGAAAAAATAGTGTATTTGAAAAATGTTCCACATTTGTACCAAAATGAACAATGTGTATTGTATTTTAGAAAACCTGAAGAAAACTGGTGAAGAAAAACATGCGTTGTATTTTACTGTTTTCTATTAATGAGCGGAAATGTCGGGAAAATTGCAGATTCTTCAAGTTGGGTGATTCCTGCCGACGATGGCAGGGACAGCTTCGTCGGTATTCTACCCATCATCTTTCACCAAGTCAGTCAATATTGTCCTCGCCTCAACATTACTACATACTCCATCCTTCTATAATGTAGTGCATATAGATTTTCTACAAAGTCAAACTTTACACAAACTTTGACCAAGTTTGTAGAGAAAACTATTTATATCTACAATACCAAATGTATATAATACGAAAATATATCTTGTGATATATCTAAGCATATGTATTTGGTATTCTAGATGTATATATTTTTCTCACAAACTTGGTCAAAGTTTCATAAAGTTGGACTTTTAAAAAATTCTATATGTGCTATATTGTGGAACGAAGGGAGTACATACAAAAAGGCTGCAAGACTTGACGTGGACAATACATCACTACAGCCAGTTGTCCGCAAAGCCGGTCATTGAACTAATATCCAGTTACATAGGCATACAAAGATGGTGATGGAGGGTTCGTGAAGATCCAGTTACATAGGCATATAAAGCCGGTCATTGAACTAATATCCAGTTGTCCGCAAAGCCGGTCATTGAACTAATATCCAGTTACATAGGCATACAAAGATGGTGATGGAGGGTTCGTGAAGA